GAATGAGAAGGTTATTTTCTGTGTAAATAAAATTGTATTTTGATTGCCTATCATTTTTTCCAAATTTCTGAAGCATAAGTTTTAATCAAAACTCTCTGAGTTCTTAAAATTGATTCTTAATAAAATTTTTCATACTGTACTCCCTTCTTTTTTCCTTGCTTCTCTTTCCTGTCCACTAATACTTTAATTTGGGTGTTCATTTACCCCCCAGTCTGATACTTAAATGTTTAAAAAGAGAAAAGAAAAAGAATATGAGAATCATGTGATAATAATGTTCCTTCTAAGTTTTTGTGGTTGTATGCAAATGACTGTGCTACATGAGCAATAAATAAAAGCCTTTGGAGGTCCCTAGAGAAAAAAAGCAGATTGGTGGTTTACCAGGGGCTGGAGGAAGGGAGAATGGAGAGTAACCACTTAATAGGTATGAGGTTTCCTTTTGGGGATGGGGGATCATGAAGATGCTTTGCAGCTAGATAGAGGTGGTGGTTGCACAACATTGTGATTGTACTCAATGCCATTGAATTGTTCACTTTAAAATGATTCATTTTATGTCATGTGGATTTCACCTCAGTTTTTAAAAAAAGTCTCTGAAGGAGTCTTGGGTATAGTCATTCTAGTCATTTCAGAATTTTTCATATTTATTTAACTGGTCTTGACATTGTATTGTACAGATAAATTTACTTAGTGTTTTTATGATGGTATGTAACCATTGTTGTTATGTGCCGTCGAGTCAGCCCTGACTCATAGCGACCCCTCCTTGGGTTTCCGAGGCATAGTGGCTCAGACACTTGCCTGCTAACCAGACGGCTGGCGGTTCAAACCCACCAGCCATCCTCAGAAGGAAGGTTGGGCAATCCTACTTCCCTAGTGATACTGCCTCGGAAACCCAAGGAGGGGTCGCTAATGAGTTGGGGCCGACTGGACAGCACATAACAACAACAACAACAACAACAACAATGTAACCATTATGTTGTTGTTGTTGTTATTTGTCATGGAGTCGCCCCGACTCATAGCGACCCCTCCTTGGGTCTCCGAGGCAGTATCACTACAGAAGTAGGATTGCCCAACCTTCCTTCCAAATGTAACCATTATAGTAATTCCCAAATACTTGCTAAATAAAAGTAGTTGACTTGTGTCTTACCTAAACCTAAAATAGCAAAATAGCCCTCTTTGTAAAATGGCAAGTGGTAAACTCTGGCCAAAGATAGAACATCTGTTCAAACCTTTCAAAAATAAAAGGATACCTTCTACAAAGAAATGGCAACAGAAACTCATGTCTGCTTTCATTCTCTCCCAAAACTCTAGTAAAATAATGCTATGGGAGTTTGTTTTAAGGTGTAAACTCACATGGATGAGGAGAACAATAGGAAAGACAATAGTAATAAAAACTTGGGATGTTGGGAAACAGATGGAATAGTAAATAACGCAACAGAACCGTAAGCCAAGAACCAATTTAATTTATAGCCCCCAAAGAAACAAAACTAACCTCAGTGCCGTGGAGTCAGATCTGACTCACAGCGACCCCTCCTTGGGTTTCTGAGGTGGTGTCACTACGGGTAGATTGCCCAACCTTCTTTCTGAGGGGTGGCTTGTAGGTTTGAACCTCCAGTCTTCTTGTTAGCAGTCAAATGCCTTAGGTACTATGCCACCAGGGCTCCAAAAGACTGGGTAACCAGTACCTGTGGAAATTAGGGTGAAAGGGATGCTAAATTTGGGAAGACTAAAATCTGTTTAAGAAGAAATCAGATCAGAATCTCTAACCTATATACCACAACTGGGTGAGTGTTCTTTCCCTGTTGTTGTTGTGAGTTGCTGAGCTGGGCTCATAGCAACCCCATGTACAACAGAACCGAAACACTGTCCAGTCTTACACCATCCTCACAAGCCTTGCTATACCTGGTTACTCTGAGGAAGGTAGAATAGAAGCTCTCTGAGCTCAGGAACACCAGGCACAGTTGAGGGTGGAGTGAAAACAGCATGATTATGTGGATTAAGCATGTTGATTACTAAGACTTCCAGCCTTCTTATCTCACTCAGCTACTCAAAAGCTAACAATCAGGACTTTGCTCTCCAAGCAGGAAATGAGAGGATCTATCTCTGGGGAAATGGGCCACTTCAGGGGAAAGATCAACTAAATGGCCCAGCTAGATAATACTCGAGAGATCACAGTCAACAAACTCTAGTACATGCTGAGAGCTGCCAATCAGCTGTTAATCCCCACCTCTGTAAGTAAGCACAAACAGCAAAAGATTTCCAGATTACTGGTAATCTAACTGGCCTCTACTGTGAAAGATGGAGATTAAAAGAAACATAAAAAGGTGATTTGGAGGAACAGAGACTGCAGGAAAAAGACAGCTTCAAAAGATCCTCATTATATACCCTTATCTCTACTTTCGTCAGTGCTTAAAAATTTTCATCATAATTTTTAAAACTTCTTTCTCACAGAGGTAAGATAGTGCAACAATAAAACAATAGAATACTGCAAAAAATAAAAAAAAACTCAGAACTATAAAAACCTTGAACCAAACCAAACTCACTGCCGTAGGTCCAGTCGGATCCGACTCGTAGCAACCCCTCCTTGAGCTTCTGAGGCTTTATCGCTACAGAAGTAGATTGATTGCCCAGTCTTCCTTCTGAGGAGTGGCTGATGGGTTTGAACTACCAGCCTTCTGGCTAGCAATCAAAAAATACGATGAGAGAGATAAAAGCTCAGTAAAAAATTTAGAAGTTATGCAAATAATCTCTTTAGAAAAGAAGACAAGAAGATGGAGATGAAAAAAAATTATTTCCAACTCTGAATTCTATCCAAACTATAAACCAAATGTGAAGTCAGGGGGAAAAAAAAAATGTAGATGTCCAAAATTTCAATACCCTTTTTGAAGAGACTGCTGGAGAATATGCTCCATCAAAATGAGAAATAAATAGGGAAAGAGAAACCTCTTGTAGGAAATGTTCTGTTCATTTTAGGAGAGAAGTACAGAGACTCATCAGGATGATAGTGAAGAGACTTCCCACAATGAACTATAGGCAGTAAATCCAGAGTCAGTGTGAAATTTCTTCAGGAAGATGAAACTGAAAAAATGTCTGATACATGTAAATGCCATAGGAGAAGATCTAAGCCAGGGGCCAGCAAACTACAGGTATGGGCCAAATTTGGCCTACTTCCTGTTTTTTGAAGGAGCCCTGGTGGCACAGTGGTTAAGCACTTGACTACTAACTGAAAGGTTGGGTTTGAACCTACCAGCCACTCTGCAGGAGAAAGATGAGGCAGTCTGTTTCAGTAAAGATTTATAGCCTTCGAAACCCTGTGGGGCAATTCTACTCTGCCATATAGCTTGCTCTGAGTTGAAATGGACTTAATGGCAATGGGTGGGCCTGTTTTTACAAATAAAGTTTTATTGGAATACAGCCATACCCATTCATTTGTGTATATATTTTACCTGTGGCTGCTTTCACATTACGGGGCAGAATTGAGTAGTTGTAACAGAGACCATGCAGCTTACAAAGTCTGAAATATTTACTGTCTGACACTAGTCTGTACAATTGATTATAGACAATTGGCAGAGACCTTCAAGTTGACATAAATTAAGTAAATGAAAAAATCAATATAATTACTCAATCCAGGGAGAACAAAAAATGGGCTGGAAAGAAAAAGTAGCCATGATTTACTACTACATGGCTTAGCTGTGAATGTATTTACATGATTATAATAACATAGGGAGCTCTGGTGGTGTAGTGCCTAAGGCATTTGACTGCTAACGAAAAGGCTGGCAGTTTAAACCCACCAGCCACTCCTTGGAAGGAAGGTTGGGCACTCTACTTCCATAGTGATACCGCCTTGGAAACCCAAGTAGGGGTCACTATGAGTCAGATCTGACTCGACAGCAGTGAGTTTGGTTTGGTTTATAATAACATAAATACTGAGTATTGAGGTAATTGAAGTTACAAGCTCTTTGGGAGGATAGGAAAGATGTGCATGTATACTGGTAATGGGAAGAGGAGAAAGCTTACAATATTTTTCTACAAATAAGATGCCCATGTAAATAACACCCCCCACACATAGCATGCTTAGGAAAATAACATACACATTATTTGTGTAAAAGTACGATGATCATCACCTTCCATAATGGGAAGTTAGTAGATAAGGAATACTGTGATAATACCAAGAGAAGAGAAAATTAATTCCTCTGGAGACAGGTAAATAGAGGGGGAAGGGACACAGAACAGCTGTAAAGACAGATCTCTCATAGACTTTAAAAACTATGTACCTTTATATCTTTGATAAAGAAAAATGTTAAAACTCCCCACAGAATTGGAGAGCAAAAGAGAAAAGAAAGTCTTTTTAAAGGTCAGCACATGCATAGTTCTCATGTTTCCCTTTCTCCTCTTACTTCCATTTAGACATCACTAATTGTCACAGTCTTATTTCCTTCTGAGTCAGAGCAAGGTCTCAGAATCTTCAGAATAGTGTTCTAGGCACCATTGCTCATCTCTGATAAAGTGAGTGAAAGGCACCAATTTGGGCAGATTCTATCTGATTCATAGACTTGCCTATCAAAAAGAACAATGCTAAGGTTTATTATTTGGCCTAACATTTGATTGCATCAAATGTGTGCTAAAATAGCTGCATTTTAAAACTTTATCAGTTCTAAATACTGTTCCTATTCAAACCCACAAACAAGGGAAGAACATAGTTATTTCTCAGTAATTATTCTTAGAGAGTAATTTAATATGTTATCACTATATAGCACTAGATCTAACACTTAATAGGTTCTAGTAAGTGTTTAAGTGACTGACTGAATGAATGAACTCTGCTGTGAGATCAACAACAATAAAAAAAGAAAAATGACTCACAAACTGGAAGAAGCCAACCATCACATAAGCAAAAGTGATTCCATACCTTCCTTCAGATTTTCAGTTAACAAAGCTAAGTTGTGGTTCTTAATGATTTTGCCTTCTGAAGTAAAGTTATTTTGCCCTTTTTTTCTGATTCTTAATAGGATCTTTCCAATTAAAGATGTGCCCCTGGAGACTGATGATGGCCTTTCTGATTGGCTCTATCAGCGGTTTATTGAAAAAGAAGACCTCTTATCACATTTTTATAAAACAGGTACACAATATCTATTACATATATTTATGTGTTCCTGAAGTTACTGATAGTTTCAAAGATGTACTTTAGGAGAGATTATCATTCTTTGATTCTTTAAATACCCTAAAGGAATCAAAGTATTTCTGTATTTAAGAATTTTAGCTTAGAATTTTTATTAGGACAAATTTTTGTTAAACTTCTTCATCAGCCAATGGACAAAGATCAATGATGCTTATAATGGTCATATAAATGGATCTAAGTCCAGGAAGTACGCAAGAACACAGTCTATAGTTGACTACAATTATACATATACAATTTTATGGGATGTTTTATGAAATAACAGATAACATTCATGTTTTGGCATTACACTTGATGTTTAAATAGTATTACAGTCATCATTTGAAATCATTTTTAACTGCATTTTTTCATGCTTATTTTTTCTTTACCCATAAGGGTAAAGTTCACTTTTTAAGTCTTCACAGATGCAACTTTATGCTTTCTTCTTGGGAAAAAAGAAAAAGTCTTATTTTCCCTAAGGTTTCTTCTAGAAATTATGACCTATGAAAATTATGATGCAATAAAGAAGACATAACAAAGGAGGAGGAAAGAGGGAAGAAGAAAGGAAGTTAGGAAAGAAGAAAATTTACATTGGCAGAATGTCAGGCACCATGGTAGAGATGTGCTTTCATGATTTGCTGTGTTTGTAGGCCTACTTCCTAGAGCATATAAAAGGAAAATAGATAAAAAGGTGAACAGAATGTTGTCCCAGTCTAAGGATGGCCATGGGGTTTTAGATTAACAGAAAGCTCTATTTTCTCCCTAGATTTTTTTGGTACAGAATTAAAGTTGCTGTTAAATCAGACTGTTGAATGTCTAATGTTGAGCAAAGGCTCCTATGTTAATTACAGGGTTTTTAAATTGCTTTGTTTGGTGAAAATATACACAGCAAAATGTACAACAGGTCAGGAGTTTCTACATGTATAACTCAATGGCCTTAATTACATTCTTCAAACTGTACGACCATGCTTGCCATCTTTTCTGTATTAATTACATTTGTTGTTGTTGTTGTATTCCATTAATGACATTTAATGATTTTGTTTTTGCATTTGGAATTTGTTTCCCTTTGTTCTGAACAAGATTGCTCCTTTCCTGACCTTAACTTTTTGACTCAGGCAGTAGACTAGTGTGTAATTACTATGATAGGAGTTGGACAATGTGTTTGTCATTGGGATTCATAGTAAGACTAATTGAATAAGGTATACACCACTCCTCTGTGAGCCACTCCTCTGTGAGCATTTCTTGGTCCTGCTCTCATTCTCTTTACAGGTAGGACAAGATGGATATGTAAACTAAAAAGACAGGAGGCCATAAGCCTGTGAACAGGGTCTCTTGCCTTTCCCACCTCAATCTTCTGCCTTATGATATTTGGCATTAATTGTCCTGACAATAATGGAAGCTTCTTTTTAAGAATGCTATTTGCATTCTTGGCACAGTGGCTAAGCACTCAACTGCTAACCAAAAAGTTGGCAGTTTGAACCCACTAGCTGCTCCAAGGGAGAAAGATGTAGTCTGCTTCTGTAAAGATTTACAGCCTTGGAAACTATGACGCAGTTCTACTCAGTCCTGTAGGATCGAAGTGAGTCACAGTCGACTCAACTGGATGACAACAGGTTTATTTGCATAATAGATTTGAAACTTGAAAGTGCTTTCTGCACATGGCTCACTCATGAGAAGTAAATCCCCTCATGAATCAGCTTACTCTAGGGGATTAGCAACAAGGACAAAGACTATTTTGAAATACTAAAGAGTGTTATCAAGATGACCTTCAGTAATATCACTTTGAAGTGGTCTAGCTTTCCAGAAAAGAATTTAAAGACATCTGTTTGCTTTGTGTTTCTCTTTTGTATTATTAAAATGTATTTTATAAAATATACTCCCTTTTGGAAAAGTCACTGATTTGCAACCACTTTTTTTTGACAATAACATTAATTTGTAGAGGAATTCATATAAATTATACTATTTTGGAAATTATTTAACTAATATCGACTTAATTCAGTCTGTGTTCTGGCCACTGTGGAAGTCTCTAGGGGTTCAATGGGAAATGAGGCAGCCAGAGATCCTGCTTTCATGCAGCTTATATCCCAGGGAGAGAGAGTAAAGTCTGTAGAAAGAAAGAAATTAAGGAAAAAGAGTTCCTGAAGGTTCTGGTAAGATGGAGGAATAGGCAGAAAGACTGCCCAGATGCTCTTCAACAAAGAAAAGGGGAACCAATTAACACAGATATAGAAGAAGATCCTGGACCCCTGAGCCTTAAAGGGAAGGATATAGAAGTGGAGTAAACTCCAGGTAGCAGAAGAATTGGCATGAAAACACCAAAAAAGAAGACATATGGAGCCAGGGACTGCATGGAGGACTGCTGTGGTGGCTGGGGAATAAAAGGGAAAGCAGTGAAGAGAAAGGCGGGCTGAGCTGTGGACTTTTGCCTGTCTAGAGGGCGCAGCCATTTTGAATGTTTACAAGTAGTTTGACCATTTTGGACATTTAAAGCGACAGCATTCTCCCAGAGACTTAAGAACAAGCTGCACTTGCCAGGAACCCCAAGGACATTCCGGACCCGGATGAATGGAAAAGTGCGACATTCCTCTTGTTACTCTTATACCCCACACTCTCTTGGTGAATGGAGGTATGGCCATCCCTCAGTCCCACCCACTTTCTGGGCCGGCAGGAATTTCAACCCAGTCTATATGCTCAGACGGAGCCTGGGTACCCTGCCCCACCCTGCCTTGATTTTTTTTCTCTGTTTTCTGTTTTTTTGTTTGTCTTTGTCCATTTCAAAACTATTATTATTATTATTATTACTTTTGTCCATTTTACTACTATTCTTTATTCTTACCCTCCCAGGTTCTAGTTTTCAGCATTTTTTCTTATCCCTGTTCCTGGTGAGAATTTTTTTTTCTTTCTCGTGTTTAACCCTGTTCCTTGTTTTTCTTCTTATGTTTTCCTCCCTTTTTGTCTTCATTATTCTCCTTCTCTCCTTTTTTCTCTTATTGCTCACTCCCCAGATATTGCGAGATTTTTTTTTTTCTTTCTTTTCCCCTTTTTTCTTATTTTGGTTACTGTTCCTATGTGATTACATGATGTATTTTTGCCCATTTGCTTTTACTTTTTTGATGGTTATTCAATTGTTATTTTTGTCTAACTGAGTGGAAGACAGCAACAGTCCCCATACAACACAACTACACCCACACCTCCTGCAGCTTCACTTACTGAGAGCCACCACTTCCTTTTCCACCAATGGGCCAATGATGAACAACCACCAAGAAGAACCTGACTGACTCCTGGCTATTCTTCACAAACACATAACAGAAATCTACAACAACGCCACAATGACTCAGAGACAACAGACCATCACAGTCCACACAAAGAAGGAAGATAAAGTGGTAGAAACAAGGGAGCAGAATACAAACCCAGAACACCTCCCTGAGGAAAAAACAGCATTGGAACTC